TGAATATATACACCATCCTGTAAAAGCTGACTTTACTCTTTATTGCTCAGCAACCACGGTTAACCTGTGGCATATTTTTAGGGGCTGTAAACAACTTCACTCTAACATCACTTCTTGGCTATTCTCACACTAACCAGAATCTTGCAGAAGGATTTGTACTCCAGGAAGGTCAGGTGCTCTGCCAGTTCAGATGAATCAAGGTGGTCGAACAGCAGGGACATTTTCCTCTTCTTAGACACAGATGGAACACGCTGAGTCACCTGCCGTTTCCATTTATATGACGGCCTGTAAGGAGAGACATAGAACAGTTCTTGTTTTTCTTTATAGATCCTTTTTTCTTTTACATAGTACCATAAAAGTCATAAGGATCCAGAATAATACCCATTGCAACATATTACCAGTCCCTTAAACCTTTAAAGAAGCATAGTGACTCATCTGTTATTAATGAATTTCTCTTAGAAAATATCTTTTCTAAAATAAAAAAAAGATAAATAAAGGTTGAACTGGATTTTTAACAGATATTTAAATATATAATCAGTGGATGGCCCTTTGCTGCATAGCCTAGCAGTGTCAATCAACAGGCCATAAAACAGACTGCTGACAGTGGCGGGGAAAGGCTTTCAGTCACACTGTTTGTTTACAGATAGTCCTCAGCAGCCTGTTCACTCACACACTGTCCAGGTCGATGAGCTGACTCTGCCTCTCATTGCCTTCGGTGGACAGGAGGTCTTTAAAGTGTTTGATCTGCTCCTCCAGCTCTGGATTTAGATTGAACTCAGCAGGAAACTCAGAAATCCAGTACCTAGAAGAAAGGCAGCATGAAAAACAGCAGACAGATGATGCAATACAGTGTGCTGAAAATAGTGTTGTTTGCCGTAGTTTGACACAATTTGTGCAGCCTGACATATTTCATGGATCTATCTTTTTGGATTGTTACTATTATAACAAGGGAAAATTTTCCGCAGTGCGTCAGTTTTTGTCAAATTTCCCAAGCAGTGGGTCATAAAGTTTTTACGTTGCTTTTTTATTTAGGTAAATTTAGGTTTTATATGCTGTATAAACAAAATGTTGCATATACTTGGCAATAAAAGGAAAAATATTTTTAAAATGCTTAAAAACAAAAACCTACAAATTGGGAATGCTGTTTGATTTAGCCTCCTTTACTTTGTAAATAAAATGTAAATAAATAAAATCCACTGCAGCTAATATCTGCAATGTGCTTCTTTTATCTCTATGCATTTATCATTGTGAAGACAGATCCAATGCTCGGTTCTTCCAGAGAGCAGAAAAAAAACAAGATTTTCTTTTGTATTTAGAGTTTTTAAAGAAAATTAGATACGGCAAATAATTTAATCAGCAGAATAAAACTTTATAAAATCTGTGATTGGAGATTGGAATCAATATTTTCTAAATGGTGCATGAATCTAAAACATCCAGACCACAATAAAACAAACATTGTGTGTAATTTGATCTGGTTGTAAAAGCTATCTTAGGGGCTTTTTGGTTTACTGTAGTATACAAGAATTGGGCTAAAGTAAAAACTCTTAAAAAAATACAATAACACTTTCATGTTAGCGCTTGTCAAAGTGTGTACAAGTTCAAATGGTGTGAATGCATGTGCAAGGCACTATATGACTAAATGAAACACGAGGCCTAATTAAAGAACTAGAGTGAGATGTAAGAGTCAGAGATGACAGCTCGAAAGATCAGGGACAAAAAAAGAACATTTTTATCAGACAGAGAAGAGAGATCATTACTTTACAAGGTGACATATTCTTGTTCGTCGCTCCTCAGTACAGGTCTCCTCCTGGGATCTTGTTCTTAAGTTAAGATGCAAATATCTTTAAATATACACAGGCTTTCTGCTACATGTAATTTATGGTGGCGTAACTCTACAGTACAAAAAAAAAATATATATATTTTTTAAAGTCATAAGAATCCAGGTTAATACCCACTGCAATATATTATCAGTCCCTTAAACCGTTAATGAAGCACAGTGATTTATCTGTTATTGCTGAATTTATATTAGAAAATATTGAGAATGAGAATATTTTAAAACAATGTAAAGCATATGATATAGCATAATGTTATTTAGACTTTTTTCTAATCACAATCAGAGTTTAAACTTAATTTAAATATAAAAAAAAATGTTAAAATTTACTTTAATTTGAAAAACCGCATTTGTTCTATCTTCCTGCAATGTTATCCATCGTATGGAGCTAACTGCCGTTCTGTCAGAGGAGCATACCCGGTCAGATCAGCATACCCTTCGTCAATACCCGTTTATCCCTTTAGTTTTGTACGAAGAATACAGTTTAAACTACTTCAACGGGCATGTTTCCCTTTAGTCATGTAAAAAAGAGCTATTTAATTACTTAGTTTTTTTGTGTTTTTTAAAGCTTATGGCGATCTGACCCTAAATTGCTTCTTTTTTTTTTTGTACATGACTAAAGGGATACATACGGAAGAGGATTAGGGCCACTGAAAAAAAAAAAAAGTTAACTGATTTTTACATTTTATTTCAGTTTAAAATGGGAAAAAAGACAGAAATCTGACTTTTTTCTCAGAATTCTGACTTTAATCTCAGAATTTTGGATCTTAATGTAGATGGGCACCATGAAGGAAGAGATGTGGGAGCACTCAGCTTCACTGACAAAGATG